ATTAAGGAATATGGTGGGATTAGTAAAGTGGGGTTTACTGAAGTTGATTGTAGAAATTATATGAGGAACAATAAACAGAGGAGTATTGAGGGTGATTTTCAGCTTCTAATTGAGTATTTAAATCAAATGAAGTTGGAAAATTCGGGTTTTTATTTCGCGGTTCAAGGAGATGGTGATCATAATTCTTCAGGTAATGTTTTCTGGGCTGATAGTAGAGGTAGAATGAATTATAGTTATTTTGGTGATACTGTAACTTTTGATACTACATTTAGGTCTAATAGATATAGATTGCCTTTCGCGCCTTTTACTGGAATTAATCATCATGGTCATCCTGTGTTGTTTGGGTGTGCTTTTTTGATCAATGAATCTGAATCGTCGTTGGTTTGGTTGTTTAATACATGGTTGGATGCTATGTCGGGGAAGCATCCATTGTCGATAACTACTGATTATGATGCCACTATTAAGTCTGCTATAATGCAGGTTTTCCCTGGTACCCGGCACCGGTTTTGTAAATGGCATATCTTTAAGAAGTGCCAGGAGAAGCTGTCTCATGTTCTGCTTGAGCTTCCGGGGTTTGAGTCAGATTTTCATAAGTGTGTTAACTTGCCTGAGTCGGTTGATGAGTTTGAGTCTTGTTGGTTGTCGGTTTTGGATAGGTATGATCTTAGGGATAACGAGTGGCTTCAATTGATTTATTCTGCTAGGAGGCAGTGGGTTCCAGTGTATTTACGAGATGCATTTTTTGCTGAGATGTCAGTTACACAACGTAGTGATAGTATGAATTCGTACTTTGATGGGTATGTGAACGCGTCCACCAATCTTAGTCAGTTCTTTAAGCTTTATGAAAAGGCTCTTGAGAGTCGAAATGAAAAGGAAGTTAGAGCTGATTTTGAGACTATTAGTACTCCTCCTGCTCTTAAAACCCCTTCCCCGATGGAGAAACAAGTCTCTGGACTTTACACTAGAAAAGTATTCATGAGGTTTCAGGAAGAGTTGGTAGGGACTTTGACTTACATGGCGACAAAGACGGATGATGATGGGCAGGTTATAACATATCAAGTAGCAAAATATGGGGAGGATCATAAGGTATTCTGTGTGCGATTTAATGTCTTAGAGATGCGAGCAACTTGCAGTTGCCAGATGTTTGAGTTCTCAGGGCTTCTTTGCCGACATGCACTGGCAGTGTTTAGAGTGACTAATATTCTAACTCTGCCCTCACATTACATTTTGAAGAGATGGACAAGGAATGCCAAGAGTAGTGTTATGTTGGATAATCCGCATGGAAGTACTGTAACTAGTTATCTAGAGTCCCATACAGTCCGGTATAATTCCCTACGTCACGAAGCTTTTAAATTTGTTGATGAAGCGGCTAGTACTTCAGAGACATATGATGTGGCAATGGCTGCTCTAGAAGAGGCAGCAGAAAAGGTATCCCAGGCTTTAAAGAGCGTGCGAAAGAGTTCTATGGCAAATGGTCCTGTTAAGGACTTAATGAGAGGAGGATCAGGGAATAAATCCAGCCATGACAATGGGATGAGCCTGAGTCAGCAAGTTTCTGAGGTACATGAGAAACTCTCTGATCATTTAGATTACGATTTGCTCTTGCTTCTTGGTATATGACAAATCTGTGCTATGCTGTAACCCCCCCTCCTCTTTTTTAAAGCAATTTTGCTGCTATCTTTTTGTTATAAATATAGCTTGGATATATTCTGTGTGGATGTCATTCAAAAGGGAAAAGAATACTTGAGATTTTGAGATCGGTTAAGCTTTTCCAAAGATGACTGTCTCTAGGAATATATATACTAACCTACAGGATATCCTGTCTGTTCTGTTTGACTAGAGGACATAATACTTGATAATATCACTGAAGCTATGTATGTTTGCATAAGAAACTTTCAGTCAGGAGCAGAAAGTTGAAAACTGCTTTAAGCTGGCACTTCCATCACTTGGGGCCTGCTTTCAGTTTGATCTGTGGGAAACTGGGGTTCTTGGGTAACATTGCCTACTTGTGCAGCAACAGATTCTGTCATGTTTGGAATGAGATTCTTCTTTATGTGAAGAAGAGAGAGAGAGAGGGGGGGGGGGGGGTGGTACCTCAGTAAATTATTGCTCATTTGGTCTATAATAAAGTGCTCAGACTTCAGACTCTTCAGAGTACTGGTGCTCTTAAGTGGACTCAGGGTCTGATTGGCTAGAAAGTCTTCTTTGTAAGAAAAGAATCAAAATAATGGGCACTTCCAATCAACAATTTAGAGTCATTTTGACTTTTTAATACCTCGTTTAGGCTTTAGTTGATAAATTTTTGAGCCTGTAGTTCCGTCTCTTTTAGTTTTTAACCTATGTCAGGTTTCTGTGAGCTCCCCTGCCGTCTCTACAGTCAGTCAGAACATTGCTTATTTTAAAAATAAAAACTCTCATAAAGAATTAAGGAATTGTTTAGGTTACAGAATGGCTGTAACTTAAAAAAACAGCTTCTTGTGATCATAATTGGGCAGCGTTGTGGAAGTAAAATATATGCACCATCTTGGTCCTTTGCTTCATAGAGTTTGCAGCCTCTTAGACTTGGTATCTGAAACCTAATTATCGAGTCATTATAATGTAGTCTATTATGATCCAAAACCCCATTGTAAGTTGTTTGACTCCCTTTGTTTGACAATTAGTATTACATACATTCGAACTCTCCTTGACATGGACTATTGTTGAATTGAGTTGCTTACTTTGGGCTTATAAATGATATTTCAATCGGACAGAAGTATAGAAAAATTTACATGTAGCACTGTAACCTACCTTACACAAGTATGATTTTTAGGATATGAGTGTTGATGAGCTGTATTTAAACTTGTTACTTTTTTTTCCCCTAAATTGTAGTAAAAGAGAAGATGACAAGATTGTATAAACTGTATGATTGTGAGCTGTTTTATGGTAGTCTGATTTGGTGTAAATGGTGATAATTTAACCTTAAACTGTGAATCTTGGTTTTGTCACTTTTGCGGCTCTGTCTGATTGAACCATCCTCCCTCTTTTGAGATTTCCTCATCCAAGCTGAATTGCTGTTCTTGAATCATCTTAGAATTATTATAGCAATCTTGCTATAACAAAAATTGTAGAGGAGAAGCAGGAGTTGAGTATATGTTATAGATTTCCTTCAGTTGATTTTATTTAGGATACCAAATCAGCTCTGAGATTATAACTTTGGAGTTTGGACTGAATCTGCGATTACTGTTTGGGATTGGTTTGTCTTCATTGCTGTATTGGTTTAGTGTCATTTAACTTAAGGATGTTTGGTGTTTCCATTTGATTTCTTTATTCTCTTTTAGCGTTTTATTTTAATGCTGATAAAATTGACAAATTTGACTGTATTACCAACTAGTATACAAGTAAAATGGTTCAACACTCCTTTTATTTCACTAATTTTTTTTAGTCTTTGTGTCTTTCTTATAAGCAACTAAATGTGCTGGGAACTAAAATTTGATACATATATAGCAATAGGGCACAGTGGCACACTGTTAAAGCAATCAGAAATTGCTCGACTATCTAATTCGTTTGCTGCAATCTTTACTTAGGACTGCATGGACCAGAAAATCAGAGAACTCAGTGAGGAGCTAGAATCAGCTAACCGAAAGTGTGAAGTTTATCGAGCCAACTTGCTTTCAGTTTTGAAGGACATTGAGGATCACAAACAACTGCTAGCAGTAAAAGTTCATAATGTGAAGCTTAGCCTCAAGAATGCCATTTAAAAGATACCGTGCAGTTCCCTCGATGTACAATTGTACATTATAACTTTATAAGAGATTTTTTTGTTTAGCTCAATTACTCACAGGATTTTTTTCTCTTTTCTACATAAAACATTGTACATTGTGTGGATAGTAAAGAATTAGAGTTATGTAGGCCTTCGACATACATTGTAACAGTGTGTGTTTCCTAACATCAATATGTAATTAACAGATCACACCAGTAAGTCAGCTTTCTTCTGATATTCTCGGAATAATATTATTTTCCTGTAAGATTTACCCATCTTCAAAAATAATTTCTCTTCGTAAGTTATTCTCCTGATTTATTGTGACTGATCTATTCCGAGCTTCTTCATAAGTTTTAATTTTGCAGGTTGGCAAAGGTTGTGGCTTCATGCAGTTAAACTCTGACACTGCTATATGTCCTGTTTTTTTTTTTTTTTTTTTTTTTTTTTTTTTTTTTTTTTTTTTTTTTTGGTCTATAAGATTAGCTTTTGTTATTTTATTTTTATAGCCACATTAAATGGTACCTATTTATTTATTTATTTTTATTGGGCTTATGAGATACAATCGTACAAGAGTTAATGCTATATGACTGTAAATTATCCCTCAAAACAAAAAAAATGACTGAATTATGAGAGAAACATAAAACAAGGTCAAACTAGGTGAAAAACACAAATTTTAAGGTGATTTTTTATTTACTTATAAAAAAAAATCACCTTAAAATTTGTCATAAGAGGATTATAATTATTCTAATTTGTAAAAAGTTATACTTATATATTATAAACTTTTATCATTTTTTAATATAAATTTTATTCTTAAAAAACACGCATAATAATGTAAGATATTATGGCCTAAAAAAAAAAATGTAAGATATTATAATATAATCAAACTCAGAGATGAAAATATTTTTTTTCTTTTCAAAACAAGATTTAATTTTATGATAATTACTGGGATTTTTTTTTTGAAAGCATTGGGATTTTTTGTCATGCTTTATTAACAATTTTTATGATATATTATATGTTTGACGTTCCCTAAAAAAACAAAAAAATATTCGAATATATTATAAAAAAGATAATTTTATATCTCCAAGATAAAAATCAAAAAAAAAATATTATGTGTGCACTTACAATCAATAAAAGCTATAGCTTTACTTTTTATACTGGAAAAAATTCTGCATTGGCCTCTTATGATGATTGATTGATTGTAGAAGCATTGAATTAAAACACTACAATAAGCTGTTGAGCTTATTTTCATTCTCTAACTACAATGCCCCAGCGTTATAAGATCAAGATGATGTTAAAAAAAAGACAGTTTTCTACCAAATTCGAAGCGAACAAATTCGAATTGCTATGCAAATATGGTTCAGACTTGACCGAATTGGCTGAGAAGGTATTCTATATACAACATACAATATTTCCTGTTACATTAAAACTGATTTTTGCAATCATGGATTGAGGTTCGGAGAAAGTTGTCACATTCACTTCAGTAGAGTGATAGTTTATGTATATTTGTAGAATTGTACTATGATTGTTAGATACGAATCATACGATATATTGGGATAGTTTGACAACTAATTTTGAACCGAGTATGTTGTCACAATGTCATCGACCGTTTCGTGGTTTCGCAGGGTGAATTGAATCCTGTTATTGGCAGGGGAAGAGAAATTGAACTTGCTATGCAAATTTTATGCAAAAGGAGGAAAAACAGTCTTTGTTTTCTTGGGAGTCCTGGCATTGGACTTACTTCAATTGTTGAAGGCCTTGCGCAACGAATTGCTGCTGATTCGGCTCCTCTTCGATTCCTAGGGAAGAAGGTACGTTCCTATATACTCACTACAAGCTTAAATGCTAGCATTATTGTACAATACAATAATTAAAAGGTACAATTTATATACTGTATTGAGTAAAAGTAATGCTTCAAATCAAACGTTGGTTGTACAGGTTATAGCGATTCAGAAGAGAAATATTTTTTCGGGTTGTGAAGCTTCTTTGTCTGAGATTGAGCAAAGGATGACCGCGTTAATTGAAGAATTGAAACAAACTGATGGAATGGTCATTCTGTTTATGAATGAAGTTGATCTTCTTTTAAGAATAGGGGACAAGATTGATCAAGTAAGCCTTCGAAACTACTCTTTGAATTGGCTTTTGGTGTTAGAAATCTAATTTGTTATGAGTTAGTACGTTTGTGTGTAATTCTACGTGCAATACTCACTATACATTCATATATATAATCAAGTAGAAGATGTCACACAAACTCGTCGATGCATTTTTCGTTCCTCATATGACATTATACCAAACATACAGGTATAATGTATGCTCACATTAAGAATTAAGAATGTATAAATAAATCAGTGTGTAGGTGCCTTTACAAAGAAAGAGTACCAAACTTACATAGAGTCAAATACAACTTTAAGAGAACGTTTTCAGCCCGTCGACGTGCCAGAGCCAACAGTTGAGGAGACTCTCCAATGCTTGAAACTTTTACATGTAAAATATGCAGCACATCACAATGTTAAATACTCCAAGAAAGCTTTAGTTGCTGTCGCTCAGCTATCAAGACGTTCCCATAGGTAATGTTCTAAACGAGCTTGTGTACGTGCTTTTTAGTTGAAACATATTTACATTTTAAAGTGTGTACGAAATTAAACATGCCTAAATGAAATGTATCAACTAATACAGAACGAAAGAGCCTAAACAAGTAAACAGTTCTTTTAATTTGATTAATCTACTGCAGTGATGGTTTTGTGATCGACAAGGCAATTGACATGATGGACGAAGCAGGAGCTCGTGTGAGTCTTCAATTGACAAAAGCGGCATCAGACAAGAAAGTAAAGGTGACAAAGGAGCACATAACATCCCTAGATAAGTCAGCTAAGAAGCAAGTCGGAAAGTCTTTTATGCATAGAGTTAGCACCCTAGAGAAGCCTAATTCACTCCTCGAAATGGAAGCATGTCTTAGGAAGCATATCATAGGACAAGAAAAAGCAATTGAAACACTTAGCAGTGCCCTCCTTCGCGCTAAAGCAGGAATCAGGGATACTAAGCGGCCTATTGCAAGCTTCATTTTCACTGGCCCAACTGGTGTAGGAAAAACAGGACTAGCCAATGCTGTAGCCATCGAGTACTTTGGATCGTTGAAGCACATAATAAAGCTCGATATGAGTGAATACAAGGAACAACATTCTGTTTCAAAGCTTTTTGGTTCACCTCCTGGATATGTAAGTCATGGAGCTGGAGGTCAACTAACCAAAGCAGTCATGAATCAACCCGAGAGTGTAGTTGTGTTTGATGAGGTCGAAAAGGCTCATCCAGATATCTTCAACACGTTACTTCAAGTGCTCGAAGATGGTACTTTGACTGATGGTAAAGGTACCAAATTCAGTTTCACCAAGACACTCATTATTTTCACATCAAACATCGGTCACAACTTGTTCAACCAATCAAATTACGACTCAGAATGTGGTGGAGAACAAAACTATCAAGAGCTAAAGGAGCAAGTTATGGAAGAACTTAAGAAGTTTTTCAGGCTTGAACTATTGAATCGATTAGATGATATTGTAGTATTTCAACAAATTAGAAATCGCGATGACTTGATGAAGGTATTGGAGATAATGCTTGACAAATTATACGAAAGGCTGAAACGCAAAGACATAACTGTAGAGATAAAGGATAACGTGAAGAACAAGTTAATAGAAGAAGGGTATGATCCTATCTATGGAGTTCGCCCATTAAGGAGGTGCATTACCAGGCTAATCGAGGATGCCTTAGCTCAGTGGATTGTCGATGGAGATGTTAAGACCGGCGATTCGCTAGTCATTGATCTCGATAGTCATGGCAATGTCATTAAGCTCTAATTTTTTTTGCATTATCTACACAAACCCTTGTTTTAGAGACAGTCACAATATAACTTTTCATTATAAGGGTTATTATTTTTTTCTTTGTTGATTTCTTACCTTGTTTTTACAAAAAAAATTATTTTACGGTAACTTTTAGTATCTCATGATAAGTTATATTATATTATGATTTAGAGCTTATTCTGAGGTCTATAGTTTGAGCAAATGCAGATTGAGAGTACATCATCATTACTCGTATTTGTTTTGAATTGTTGTATATGATTTAAATTTTTAATTAGTACAGTAGTAGTAAAGTATGAAGTATAAGTTGTCCTTAATTAGCTTAATACCTCGAAAATTGTCACGAGTTTGTTTAGTTCATGTACTAGTGTACTACCAGTACCATTAACTGTTGTAAAATTATAACTTTAAATCTTTAATTTGCTCTAGCGTAAAACTGAAAGAACTAATGGCTCCAAAAAAAATAAGAAAATAAAAAAGATACATATGCTAGCTAGGTGCAAATATGCTAATAATCAGTGTGTTCTTTAGTTAAAGAACGTAGTACGTCTCTATTAGATACATATGGTATCAAGGAAAATACAAAGGAGGATTATGATTGACAAAAATAACTTAAAATGAAAGTGAAGAGATTCCTAGACATAAATTAAACAGGATCTTAAGAACTATAAATATTTTGTTGCAACCCCATTAGAAGATAAAATATATTAACTTCAAATAAAAGATAGTAACAAATTTTTATTGAACAAAGAATATCGAATACAAATGTATAATACAAATTAAATACCCTAGGGAGGGACTTACCTTCTAGGAAGGGCCTTCCCAATACCTAGGGTCTAGAACAACCATGTTTAACAATATATAACAATTAGAGTTAACAAAATCAAGTTAAGCAGACTGTCTGCTTTAAAATCCTCGAATCAGCTGGTCTTCAAAACAAAATTATTCATCCCATAACAGTAATAACTCTGATCGACATAACGGACATGTTCCTTTTCTCTTATGTATCCAACCAAGAAAGCAATTCTTGTGAAATACATGAGAACAAGGAAGCATCGCCACATCGTCCGACTTCCCAAACTCCTCTAAACATATTGAGCAATTCTCCTTAACCCCCGAATAACCATTACAAAACCGTACTCCACTTGCTTCTAGACGAAATTCTATGTCTTCTTCCTTGTCGATAATCTCCTCATCATCACCAATATCATCCAAGTACATAGGCTCCTCTTCCTCCTCCTCCTCCTCGTCTTCCTCCATCAACTCATCATAGTTGTACGCGTGATCATCACCATTCTCCTCCTCCACATGGTACACTTCGGCCTTGACGTGCATAACAAGTGACTTACGGCCACAATCACGAACATCATCGAGGAAAAGCTCACAACTTTGTACCACAACATCAACAATAGAATTCCAAGCATTACTATTAACATCATTATCCTTGAGGCAATTCACGACCACATCTTGTAATTCCCAATAAGGGGACTCTCTCTCGAACTCTAAAATTACATTCATTGTCTTCACGTTAACGTCGTCAAGGCCGTCTTCGTGGTACGACATGTTGATGGTAAAGAGAGCATCAACTGGTTTATGGTTATCACTAGTAGTTGTTTGGCTCCACCCAAGATGTAACTTCAACCCCTCGTTTTATCGATGAGGTTAAACACTCCATATTATTCATAATTAAGGTTTAAGGTAAGGCTTAGATCGATGTTATGAAAAAGTAAAGGCATTTTTTTTTTCAACGGAGGTTAAAGGCAATTATTTATAAACAAACAATATATAAGTGTGGCTGACTTGCCCCACAAGGTCACGCCTATTTTTTTTTTTAATTTTTAGATTATCTAATTATTTTTAGATTATCTAATTGATTATAGTAATGATTTGCCATCTATCTTATTACACTCATCCTAACCGACTATCTTTTTCTTTTCTTTTTTACAACTAATTTTGGAAATATATAATAAGAACGAAGATATTATGAGAAAGATATACAAAATCTATATAGGATTCTAACTTAACTTTGAAATATATTATAAACATAATTTTGGAAATTCCTTGCGTATAAAGAAAAGTTCTTTTTTAAGGGTTTGGCTTGAGAATTTTCTATACAAATAAATTACAGTTGAAATTTTTGTTATTCCTCAAAAGTGAAAACACCACAAATAGCTCTACTTTAATATTTCCATGACCAACCAAACCATGAATTCCCCTCTATTGTATTCAAGGTCAATTTCTGGATATGATGTGTTATCTTGGGCATTTGATGATTACTCTACTTCAACCTCAAACCCGAACCCAAACCACCAACTCGACGACGTCTTTACAATCCATATATGCTACAATGATAGCCGCATCCCTAACGGAGAAAAAATTGTTACACATGTGTTAGATAGAACTACTGATTTCGAAGATGAGCTTACGGAATGGGAAGTTAAGGAGTGGCTTGGAGAACTTTACGAGGATGAATATTCTGATGAATGTGTCTATGAAGCAATTGAACAAAGTTGTCAGAAACTTCTAGAAGATGTTGAAGCTAAAACGCGTACTTCTCTTGCATTGATTGTCAAGATAGCCAAGTTGGCTGAGACTATGGATATGGATATCGAGGAAGTTGGTAATAATAATAATAATGATTTCGAGGAAGATATGAATGAGGATTATGATATCGATGAAGAGCTTAAGATGGAAGTGAAGAGTTTCCTACGGAAAAGGGAGTTCCTAAGGCCTATGAATAAAGAAGGGTTTTCATCAAGTAAAGAATCAAGGGGTTGTTCGATTTGCTTGGAGGAGTTTGATAAGTCGGATGATGATTGTGAACAAGAAGGCGCGTTTCTTCCTTGTTCTCATGTTTTTCATGGGGAGTGTGTTGTTTCTTGGATTCTTGAGGGGAAGAATACTTGTCCATTGTGCCGATTTAAGTTTATGCCTTGTTATTTGGTCTTCGATGAAAATTAAGTTGTATTACGCCTCCTTGTGTATAAGGGTGGTGCTATTGATGTATATAAGAAAACGTTCCAATTTATTACTGAATATATGTTGTATCGATCTATTCCTTCACAAATTTTAAAATAACTCTGTTTTCTTTTTTAGCCATGTTTTAGGATTTCATTATAACTTAAGTTGTATGACAATATTGATAACTCATCAATGACATACGGTTGTATAATACTAATTGTATGAAACTTTATATTGTAGCTTTTGATGCGATTGTGAAAGACACGCTGATTGAGCCTATTGTAGAGTATATACTATCAATCCAAAATACATCAATTATTAGACAACCAAAAGTTGATTTATATTTACATCACAAGTCTAAGGTAAGAAATTTGTATTGAACAAAGAATATCGAGTACAATACAAAGACCCTAGGGAGGGACTTACCTTCTAGGAAGGGCCTTCCCAATGCCCGGGATCTTGAAAACTGGTTTATAATTAAAATCTTATTACAACTTTTTTTTTAAAAAAGTAATTATATTCCTGCAGGCTGCAACATAAGCTTGTTCTGTATACGATTGGAGAAAAATGGGTAGACCGGGAGGCATAGAGGTCAGCCTAGTCTGGTGATCTGAATACCTCACCAACGAACGTGTTAACATCAGATTGAGGGCCATAGCTATTGTAATCAATGCTCTTTACAACAGAGTCTGCTTGAATTTCTTTCTGAAGGAGCTGTAGCATATACAGAAATAAGTAAGACTACTTGATAACAAGAAAGCTGCTACATCAAGCAAAACAGAAGCTGCAAAAAGTTCGCGATCATTACCTTAAATGATTTTGCATCATGTTTTGCTTAGCTAAGTACTGGTGGAGCTAGCTTAGCAAAAAGCTAGATATAGGAGTCAGGATATTCTAAGCCATATGTACTAAACTAATAAAAATAACACCTTTTAATATAAATTTATAGTCTTCATATACTGCAACCCCCACATTTACTAACCTAATTCTAGCTGCAAATCACATTTAGGCTTCTTAAGATAACATATGGCAGAAAGTTCACCTAGTTTTCACAATGAATTTTTATAATTAAATCAAAACCAGCAACAATAACTCTATTATGAAGTATTAGGGAGCAAACATACACACAATCACACAAGATAAAAGTTGTTGCACAAAGGCGATACACATACAGATGTAGATGTATGGAACAATGAAAAACAACAATGTCTAATACTAGTACATAAACTGAAACAGAAAAGTGATCGAGTTGGATATATACCTGAAGGCCTTAGGTGACATAAAAAATGTCTATGCCGGCTGATAATAAGCAAGACAACAATTGACCAGCACAACTAGCAGATCGAGCAATTATGACCTGTTAGAAGTTAAAAATGGATCACAAATTACTGTATTATGACAAACTGTTTTTAAAGCAGAGAGCTTATAATAAATAATCAAAAATAGAATGAATTGATAGATTGGAGTGCACATACTCAGTTAATTGTAATGTTGGGGATGTGTTGAATGTTGGGCCAGTCCTTCCTGTCGGGTTGTTTACAACTTTCTTTTAATTCATTTGGACACTTAAAGATCTCAAGTTTCTGAAGGGAGGTGAGGTTCTGCATTGATTCAGGAATTGATTTAATGGCAGTGCAATCAATGATGGTCAGGGAACGGAGACAGTGATGAAGCGATTTCCAAGGCATGCCATCATCAGCGACCTGGTCTTCAGAGAAGCTAAGTTGATGATTGCGATCCAACACTAATGGCTCCAAGGCAGTGAGATGCTCCAAACCCCCTTTTCCGAGTCTCAGCAAATTTGGGCAATAAGAAATTCGAAGGCTTTGTAGGGTAGAACTGTACTTCCGAAATACATCCTCCAATTCTGATAAACTCTCCACCTTCTCATTGGATATTATGTGGAGGTAATTAAGAAATTGGGAGTTGTGCATTGACTTGAGAACACCCATGTCATTCAAGTCCAACTTTTCGAGGCTTGGACATGAAGGAAATGATGTTAACTTGGGGCAATGTAAGATAACCAATTTGGAGAGACGAGGAAATGTGAAGCTACTCCTCAAGATATGGTCATCATCACCCTCAACCAAATCCTCCTCCCTCCACCATCCTTTCAAACTTTTGAGTCTGCGAATTTCAAGAGTTTCAAGGGAGGGGAAGAAAGTAGTCAAGTCTTGACGGTCATTGCCGGTGTTGCTGCCTTTATTTTCTATGTACTCCAACTTCCACAATCTATCAAGAGAGAGATTTCAGAAAATGCAATTTACTCAACAGTGGAATTTGCACCAAGTTGCTACAAATTTTGAAATGAATGTTGACAAGGTGCTGGAAAAAAATAGCCCAATTATCTTGTTCTCTACCCCACCTTGGAATTGTAGTACCCTTGTAATACCTCAAGTCAAATTTCTTGAGATTTGAAGGTGGCTCAAGCTTTTCCATCACCCTTTCCCATTCTACACACCCATCATCATCATAAGAAAATTGTATTTCAACCTCAGTGAGATGTTTCATACCCTTCAAATATCCTCCTCCTCCTCCTCCATCATCATTCATGTAGTTTTTGCCGATTTTGATCTTAAATCCACCTATTAAGTTAGTTAGGGGTTTTAGATCTTTCAGGTCTCCCGCAAATCCTCCTCTGTAGCAACTCTCCTTTCCATACCCACCACAAACAATGGCAGCACCCGAAGGTTGGTCAACTTACCCATGCCTGATGGCATACTAGTTAACTTATAACACCTACTTAAATCAAAGTGCCTAAGACTTGTCAACATATCCATGCCTATAGGCATACAAGTTAAATTGTGACACTCACTTAAATCAAAGTCCGTCACATGGGCCAATAGGAGCCTGCCACGTGTCAAGCAATGATCCGTCCACTATGGACCAATTACGACACGACACGTGTCCTTCCCATGACGCCTGGGATATCCGGCCACCTAGGCCCAACTTCCGAGGGAAGCCCAATCAGCCCAAGGTTAACCTAAACCTAGATTGACACGTTTCCCAAGGTTATAAATACCTCCCTTAATCCTCATTAAGAGGGGGGACATGCTAAAAAACGCAGATTACACACATTAAACACTCTCACCTAGAGAGACCCAATCACTTTAATTTCCGCATTAATTACTCCTTAATCAAGTACTAACTTGACCGTCGGAGGCGGAACTCCCACCACCAGGAGTCTCCGTTGTTTTGCAGGTACAGGCGTCCGGTTCCAGTCTCGGAATTGTAACTCTCCCGCAGGACATCAGAAAACCCCGAAACATTTGGCGCCGTCTGTGGGGAGAGTACTTCTGAGATGACATCCACGTTTGTACCGACTCCTGAAGAGAGACGTCCCCTGGACGACCCTCTAGTTCAGTCGGACCACGATACTGAGAATGAATTTGAAGTTGAAGCTCACACAGCTTCAGACGGGACCCTAAGGGCCCGACGTACCCGTCATACCGAAAGGAGGGAACGGGAACATCTTCATACAGGAAGCGAGCCAGCAGGCGCACCGCCTGTTCGGCAACAACCGACTGATGGGTCTGCTCCCATCACAAGGAGTGAACTCATGACCTTCATGAGGGACTTCAAGGGAGAAATTCAAGAGTTGATCAACAAGAAGCCGCCTGCTCTGGACAAGGAGTAGTCGGCTAAGAAACCCTCCACTTCACAGAAGAGGAAGCCAGTTCAAGGGCGAGAGGCGACTCCTCATCCTAAATCTAGGAAGCGGGAGCCACCTGCCCTTGATTTCACAAAATACCGTTTTCCTACTCCAGGAAATAGGAAACCTGTTCGTCATATTCAGGCGGACGGGTCGAGGAAAACATACACAGACACTCGGCTATTGCTAGAGCAGAAGAAAAGTGACCGATTGTCAGAGTCGGCCTCCACTTCAAACTTCCAAGACAGTCTGCGAAATACCTCGATGAGGCATACTCAGTCGTATCATGAGAGTCAGTCAGGCGGCACCTCCCGTCAGTCCGGCTTTCATAGCGACCAGGCGGTACCAAACTTACCGTTTGTGCCGCAACAACAGTATTTTTTACAGCCACCTCCGTTTGGTGGACATGCAGCAAAAAACGTCCAACCTATGGACTGGCAGCTACGGTTGCTTAGACTTGGCGAACAGCCGTCGGCCTTCTCCAAGGAATTACTGAAGCCGCTCAGCCGGCCAAAGTGAAAAATGTACTAGTAGGCGCCTATGACGGCACTACTAACCCAGAAGACCATCTGATGGCATTCACCAACCTGATGTACCTTCAAGGGTTGGATGATCCCACTTGGTGCAAGTGTTTCCCAGCGACTCTCAAAGGAATCGCACAACAATGGTTCGGCAACCTGCCGACTGGTTGTGTAAATAGCTTCAAGACGCTTGCTTACTTATTCACCTCCAACTTCGCCATGAACATCCCTGCGAAGAAGACGACCCTTGATTTAGGAACAATTCAGCAGGGCGAGAAGGAGGGGCTTCGTTCTTACATCAGGCGGTTTAACCTGATGAGAATACAGATTCAAGGGTTACCGGATGAAGTAGCCTATACTGACTTTTTCAGAGGTCTCAAAGACGGGTCGACCTTCAAATTTGATTTGGTCCGAAAGAGGGTGGCGACTCTTCAAGAGGCCTTGATTGAAGCGGAAGCCTATATACAGGCGACTGATCTTTGTAGTACGGTAAAACAGTCGGATGGGAGAAGGTCCGACAAAAGAGACGGACGACAGAAACAGTCGTCAACCAAAGACGAGAAGAGAAAAGAGGTCTGGGCGGCTGATTCCTCTAAACAGCCGGCCCACAAAAAGAAAAAAGAATTCAAACCATACTCCCCAAAGTATGCGTTTAACAAGGATAGCCAATTTATCCTAAAGGAAATCAAGGGACGGATCTCAATTGAGAAGCCGGTCCCCATGAAGGGTTCTGCAAACAGTCGGAACCAAGAGAAATTCTGTGATTATCATGAAGATGTTGGTCATAAAACCAATGAATGCATCAGTCTCATGCGGTATCTGGACCG